CTAATGCCTTGATGCACCGTCCCATTTTAATAAGAAGGCGACATCTATGGAAGCAATAATGGAGGTCTTTAAACAGGTAAAAATCAACCTCCCCCTGTTGGAGGCGATTAAGCAGGTACCCTCCTATGCCAAATTTCTAAAGGACCTTTGTATGCAAAAGCGTGGATCTAGGACACATGTGTCCCAAAAGGTCCTACTCATGGAGCAAGTAAGCTCCATCTTGTTGAAGGACACACCTCCTAAGCTTAAGGACCCGGGTGCCCCAACCATTGCATCCATTATAGGGGACCATTTCATTGATAGAGCCTTGTTTGATTTAGAGGCTAGTGCCAATTTGTTGCCGTACTCTGTGTATGAGGAATTTGGGCTTGGCGAGTTGAAGCCCATTACTGTCACTCTTCAGTTGGCTGACTGGTCCCTCAAAGTGCCATATGGCATGATTGAGAATGTGCTAGTGAAGGTTGATAGCTTTTACTTTCCTGTTGACTTTTTGGTTTTAGATATGGAATCGGTAGCCAGTTCTAGGAAACAAATCCCGGTGATGTTAGGTCGACCTTTCTTGGCTACGGCCAATGCATGCATTAATTGTTAGACCGGGGTTACGGAAGTTTCATTTGGTAACATGCAAGTGAAACTTAATGTTTTCCAAGCATCCCAACAACCTCATGAGAGAGAGGAGTGCTTATTAGTGGATGTTGTGGATGAGATTGTGAAGGAGGCTTTGCCCTATATTCTTGTAGAAGACCCTCTAGAGGCTTGTCTAGCTTATTTTGGGTTTGAAAATTTTGATATTGATGGATCGGTTGAGGAGGTGAATGCCTTGCTTAATGCTTCTTCTACACTGGATTTTCCTCTGTGGAAAGCCCGGTTTGAGACACTTCCTCCTCTATCGAAAGAGCCCGTCATACCAACTTTGGTCACACCACCTACACTTGAGTTGAAGCCACTCTAGGGCACACTCAAGTATGCATTTTTAGGGCCTGAGGATACTTTACCAGTCATCATTGCATCTGACTTGACTGCAGAGCAGGAGAGTCAGTTAAGGAGTGTTCTCGTGGCACAACGGAGTGCTATAGGGTGGTCAGTGGCTGATTTGAAAGGGATAGATCCCTCTGTGTACATGCATTATATACACCTAGAGGAGGACACCAAACCTTCACGTGAAATGCAACGGAGACTTAATCCTAATATGAAAGAGGTGGTGAAAAAGGAGGTATTGAAATTGTTGGATGCAGGTATTATATACCCCATCTCGGATAGCAAATGGGTGAGTCCCACACAAGTGGTGCCCAAGAAATCGGGCATCACTGTTGTTGAGAATGAGAGAGAAGAGTTAGTCCCCACACGAACCACTACTGGGTGGTGAGTGTCATTGATTATAGGAGACTGAATTCCTCGACTAAGAAGGATCATTTTCCCTTACCTTTCATTGACCAGATCCTAGAGCGGTTAGCGGGGCAGGGTTTCTGCTATTTTCTTGATGGCTATTTGGGGTATAATCAAGTCTCAGTGTACCTTGCTGACCAGGAAAAGACCACATTCACATGCCCTTTTGGCACTTTTGCTTACAGGCGTATGCCCTTTGGGCTATGTAATGCACCAACGACTTTTGAATGGTGTATGATGGCCATTTTCTCCGATATGGTGGAGAAATTCTTAGAGGTTTTCATGGATAATTTTTCGATGTTTGGATTGTCTTTTGAGGAATGCCTTAGGTCCTTGACTAGAGTGTTGGAACGATGTACTGAGGCAAACCTGATCTTAAGTTAGGAAAAGAGCCATTTTATGGTTCGAGAGGGTACAGTGTTGGGACACATTGTGTCCCCTTGAGGTATAGAGGTAGGCAAGGCTAAGGTTGACCTTATTGCAGGCCTTCCTCCACCCAATTACGTGCGTTAGGTTAGGTCTTTCTTAGGGTATGCAGGTTATTATCGTAGGTTCATCAAAGACTTTAGTAAAATATCACATCCTTTGTGTAGTATACTGGTTAAGGACAGACCTTTTATCTTTGATGAGGCATGCTTGAAGGCATTTGAAACACTGAGAATGGCCCTGACCACCACCCCAATCATGAAATCACCAGATTGGTCACTCCCCTTTGATATCACGTGTGATGCCTCCAATTATGCTGTCGGGGCTGTGTTGGGCCAAAGGGTTAATAAGGCACCGTTTGCTATATACTATGCTAATCGCACTCTCTCGGATGCACAATTGAACTACACTTCCACTGAGAAAGAGTTGCTAGCTGTGGTCTTTGCCTTAGATAAATTCCGGTCCTATCTCCTAGGTTCCAAGGTCATAGTCTTCACTGATCATGCCGCTTTGCGGTATTTACTATCAAAGAAAGAGACCAAACCTAGGTTAATTAGATGGATTTTGTTGCTTCAGGAATTTGACCTAGAGATCCGAGATAAGAAAGGATCTAAGAATGTGGTGGCGGATCACCTCTCCCAAATCCACATTGAGTATACTAGTGACCCTCTTATTTTGCACGATTCGTTTCCGGACGAACAACTCTTTGAGCTGTCTCAAGCGAGTCGCCCATGGTTTGCACATATTGTGAATTACTTGGCCATTGGGCAAATTTCACAAAATTGGTCTAAGCAAGACAAAGACCGATTCTTTTCGCAGGTAAGGTATTACTTTTCAGAGGATCCAGAGTTGTTTAAATATTGCTCCAACCAAGTGATCCGACGGTGTGTACCGGAGAGTGAGGTGCATAGCATTCTTACATTTTGTCATTCTTCTACATGTGGCAGTCATTTTAGTGGGCACAAAATGGCCGCCAAGATTTTAGGGAGCGGGTTTTATTGGCCCATAATTTTTAAAGATGCCCATCAATTTTGTAGAACTTGTTTGCGCTGTCAGCAAATGGGTTTGATATATTGGCGTGAAATGATGCCAATGTCCCCTATCTTTGGTAGAGATATTTGATGTTTGGGGGATTGATTTTATGGGACCTTTCTCGTCGTCATTCGGGTTTGAGTATATTCTCTTGGCAGTCGATTATGTGTCTGAGTGGGTGGAGGCGATAGCTACCCGAACAAACGATCATAGAGTTGTAATCAAATTCTTGCATGAAAACATCTTTATTCATTTTGTGTTTCCTAGAGTCATAATAAGTGATCAGGGTACATATTTTTGGCACTCTATCACTCATAGTTGGCACTCCTTACCATCCTCAAACTAGTGGCTAAGTAGAAGTCTCAAATAGAAAGGTAAAGCACATAATAGAGAAAACGGTGAGGCCAAATAGGAAAGATTGGCCACAACGGTTGATTGATGCATTATGGGCCTACCGCACTGCTTATAAGAAACCCATTGGGATGTCACCATATAGGGCGGTGTTTGGCAAAGCTTGCCATCTCCCGGTTGAACTTGAGCATCGAACATTGTGGGGCATAAAGAAGTTCAACTTCGATATGGCTGCGGCTGGGCTCAACCGGAAATTGCAACTCAATGAGTTGGAGGAAATCCAGAATGATGCTTATGAGAGTTCGAGAGTTTTTAAAGCTCGGAATAAAGAATTCCATGACAAGCACAATAATAGAAAATCCTTTGAACCCGGCCAAAAAGTGTGGATTTTTAATTCAAAATTGAGACTCTTTCCGGGTAAGCTAAGATCAAGATGGGATGGCCCCTTTGTGGTTGTTGAGGAATTTATTCATGGCGCCGTTGAGGTGCAAGATGCAAAGACTGGCCACACTTTCAAAGTGAATGGCCAAAGACTGAAGCAATATATAGAGGGGATTGGGAATGCGGATATGATTGAGTCCATTACTTTGATGGACCCTTTTTACTATGATTGATAGATTGATTTCTTGTTCTCTTTTCTTTCCCTTCTATTCTATTATGTTTTTCTTTGTTTTTATTGTGCTTTATTTGTGTCTAGGAGACTTTAAATCCTCTAATGGTGTAATTCCTTTGGTGTTAGCTATGCCCAAACGACATCTGACGGTCTGGTATAGCCACCTAACAGTGTTTGTAGTGAGTTCCTAGGAGACCAACTGAGACGGTGGAAACTAGAGTTCGAATGGCAAAGCCCAGAACACAAAGGTTTGGAATTTCCAAGACTAGAGTCTGGTTTAAATACCCAGGGGTGTGGAGATTGCTTCAAAACTACCCCGGCTTGAACTCTGTATGGCAGCCCCATAGGTTGAGGTAGCTTTATGCGCTTCGATTCTGGATACCGAATCAACCTAGTCTGTCACCCTGTTGGAGAATAGGGAAAGTTACAAACACAGTTAGGGAGAAAAGTAGTACTCGTGTTTTTCGTGTGAAGATAATACCCTTGTTAGGCATTCCGATATTTTCCAAAGTGCTATATTTATTTCGGATGTCAAATTAAGGTAGAAATGGTTTAGCATGCTTTGTGTTGTACTCGGCTTTTAATTTCTTTTCTTTAACCTTTTTTAAAATAAAAAAAAATAATAAAAAAATGTTATATTTGGTAAATGTTGTATTCAGTCAATTAAAAAAAAAAAAATCCCGCACGTGTGGCCCTATTCATGCACGTGCGGTGCAACATATCACAATTCCAAGAGCACACTGCTTTAATTGTAGGTGTAGAGAAGGTGCGTGCGGAGGTGCCTCAATCAAGGCGCACGTGCGGCTTGGGCCCCGCAGGTGCGGAGCGTCATTTTCTTCCCCAAAAAAAAAAAAAACACGAGAGAGGAAATTGCCTCACGTGCGGCTAGTTTCCTACACGTGCGGGAAATTTTGTGAAAGTCCATTCTGCACACTGCTTTATATTCAGGTGTGTGACATTGTGCAGGGGGACGTTCGCACGTGCGTGGATAAATCCTGCACGTGGGTGACGACGATCGAAAAAAAAAAATACAGATTTTGTTTTGTTATTATTATTAGTATTATTAGTATTATTATTTTAATTTACTTACTTATTTGTTTTTAAAAAAATTATTTTATTTTATTTATTTATTTACAAATTTTATTCTTTATTTTATTTAAAAAAAATAAAATAATAAATGTACAATTATTGACTTTTGCTATAATTCAAAAGTCATACATTGCTGGATTTGTGGTATATGTATTGATCAACTTGGTTTTAGTCTTCTCTTCTGTATTTATAATCACGCAATTCGCACCAGCAGCAGCAGGATCTGGTATTCCTGAAATTAAGGGTTATTTGAATGGTAAGTTGTACTTTTCTGGCCTTTTCTAGTAAGTTTTCAATCTTCCATTAAAAGAGTTGCATATTGTAAGAGGTTGCTGATATTCATTTAAACATGCAGGAGTTGATACCCATGGTATCCTTCTTTTCAGAACCTTGATTGGAAAGGTCTGATGCCTTTTCTTGGCTTTCTGTTGCACTATTGGGGATTTATGCATATAAATGTTTCACATTTATCACGTTCTTTGTATTTTGAAGATATTTGGAAGCATCGGTTCGGTAGGAGGTGGTTTGGCTCTTGGGAAAGAAGGTCCTCTTGTTCACACTGGTGCTTGCATTGCTTCACTCCTTGGACAAGTAAGGCCATAATGCTTGAATATATTGTATAATGTATGTAATTATCCAGGCAACTAAGTTTTACACCATGTTTTGGAAGTAAACTTGCATGATAATAAGTGATAACTATGCTTGAATGAGACATCTGCATCCCTGAGGTTCAGCAAGTGAAGCACTCCAGCCCACGATTGAATTTTTTTTGGATAGGTTATTTAAAATTGTCTATAATAAATGTTTTTCCACATTCTTACTTTTCCCGTGCACAAAGTCTTCATAGTGGGATATCAAGGAGAGTGCATATGCCAGATTTATACTTCTCATCTTTAAAGGAGAGCATTAAAATTTAAATAATTGAAGATGCTTGTGCATAGTGTACCTATTTTTATATCATTTAAACAGGTGAATAACATTTGTGTTAGGTTTGATTCTTGTTTTTCTTAAATGGTGGGTACATTGATTCAATGCTTCTAAGGATTTCTGTGAAGAAGCTGCATTTGTATCAATGAATATTTCTAACTGATAGCAGAATTATTGTCTTTTTATATCTTTTCTTACGTCGGGTGTCTATTAATTGTATTCTAATGTTGCATTAGAAATATATGAATCTTTAAAATATGCTGAATATGTCTTGGTGTATCCAAGGAGTAAGTTGGAAACATTTGGAAAGCTAGAACTTTTCCATTTACGTAACAGTTATTCATTTTGATTTAATTTGATGAAATCAAATGAGTAAGCCGGAAACATTTGGAAAGCTAGAACTTTACATTTAATGATCTGTTTGGATACATTTTTTGTGAGTATATTTTCTGATCTTGGAAGTAAAACAAGCCTCAAGACATATACTGAAAAAGAAAATTTGTAAAAGCCTTAAAAGCCAGAGAAAATATGCTTGTTGTAGGTATAAACATGAAATGCGACCAAACGTGCACCCTATTTTCTTGTTACCCTTCAACTCCAAATTGTTATGGAATGCATTGTGCCTGGGGAAGAGGTTTGCTAATAACGTACCTAGATTGAGAATTTAACTGTAATTTAAACTGAGAAAGAGTAGTTTTGGTGATGCCAGTGTTGATTGAGAACTAAAGTATATTTCTGAGTGAAAAAATCCTTGATAGTTACCTACTGGAATGCACTTAAACTGGTAAAAGGCAGGTTTATGTTTCTGTGCACGTTTTCTTTTAAAATTAAATTGAAGAAATTTGTGTCATTTTTAGTTGGGGAAAAAGTGATGGGTCGTTACACACACCAAAAATAAACACTTAACTATACCAAATTCTTTCAGAATAATGGCAAGTCCAACTATTGATCTACATGGACAATTGTGAAATTAAACTAATTTAAATGCTAAATTCTTAAATTAATTTTGATAAAAGGATTGATGGATTATAAACTAATAATAATTAAATTAAACAAAGCGAATAAACTAGCAATTATAACTAAAGATTAATTTATTGATTTGGGAAAAAACCTAGGGCAATGAGTTCACCACTAGTTACGTTAATAAGGTTTCAAATTGAAATCAATTATATTACGGTTCAAATGAAATAATGCTTCGCAACTACAAGTTTAAAGCATTAAACAAGAAAATCATCACGTTCAATGCACGGGCACAAACCATTTCAAGTAGTACGAATCATTCACTCTAAACTAGGGTAGTGACATGACTCGTCCCTCGTAGTATGATTCATCTCATACCTTGAATGTGAAAGAATAGAAAACTCTTGTATGGAAAACATTCAACAATCACAGAAAGCTGAATACTTGAAGAAATAATGGAAAGTGTATATATAAAACTTCTAAAACACCATACAATTGTTCAAACCTTTACATAATTGAAAATCAAAAAGAAAAACTAATTACGTGGCTAGGGTTTCATCAATATCCTAGAAAAGGAGACTAGCCACTCATGGAGTAGTGGAAGGAGGTAGATGGAGAAGAAGCCACCATGGGAGACATGCTTGAAGCTTCAAGTTCCTTTCTTTCCAAACCCTAGCATCTCTCTCTTTGCTAAAATAATTTCAGAACCCTAATCCAGCCTTTTTCTTGCCTATTTATACTTCTGGTGCCTTTCCAAACAAGTTTAAAACATCTGGCACATTTTTCCAAAAAAAGTCAACGCATGTGCGGAAAAGTCAATGCATGTGCAGACAAAGTCAATGCACGTGCAGGAAAGTCAACTCTCTCTAAATTTTGTCTTTTTGCCCATTTTATGCTCCGACTATGTATAACCTGATTGACATTCTACACACATAAAGTATACAGTTTGACAGATAAGTGAAGTTAAGAGATCCTAATTAACGGCCTCAATGATGTACAATTCGGCCTTAATGACATCCCCCAACTTAGAACTTGCTAGTCCTCAAGCAAGTAATAAAAAGAAAAGAAAATAAAACATAACAAAATCTAACTATTTCCTTTTTCGTGGGAAAACGGTTGCATTTAACATATACAAGAAGCCTTTAAGCCACAAAGTTACCCCAAGTGGACGAGTAAAGTTTCGTGAGGGTTTCCAGAAATGATACCCACAAACATTAACATATTCATATATACTCAACAACAATTGACCACACTACTTCACCTAACAATCAACTTATGTGTCACTATAGTGTGATATTGAGACATAATGAGTCATTAAAGGCACAGTGGACAAGCATGAAGGAACCTATCGAGTGAAAACCACAATTTCGTCAATACAAAAGTAAAGTTCCTGTACTTGTGCATGCTAGTAGACAAATCATGAGTACCCTCAGTGTAAAGTGCAATCTCCATATTAGTTAACTGTCCACTATAATAGCCCAGTGTAACTCATAATAACACCCAAAATATATAGAAAAACTAAACTGTTGCAGCCAAGATTCTCAATTTTTTTTTTAATGACTGTGCAATGTCCTGATTTATTAAGCTTTGTAAACAACCCATGTAGCAAGTATTGGGCCAATGACTCCCAAACAAGATGGTTTTAGGGCACTAGGTGTGGAGACACTTCTATGGGCTTAATAACTCGAGTTGAAAATGCTACGAATCCGAACAAGTCATTCTCCTTATTGTTCCTCAACTGTGCAATGTCTAAGTCCCTTAAGCTTTCTAATTAACCCATGTGGCAAGTATTGGGCCAATGACCCCCAAACCAGACGATTTTAGGGCACTAGGTGTAGAAACACCCCTACGGGCTTAACAACTCGAGTTAAAAAAGCTACAAACCCAAACAAGTCAAGTGTTTTGTGTTTTTTTTTTTTAGAATCTGTTTTTTTTTTTTTTTTTTTTTTTTTTTTTTTTTTTTTTTTAGAATCTTGGCTCCTCATTTATTATTTTCTACAATCCTAGCTATTATCAATGATGTACACTAGGGATTATAATAAAAAGGTCACCGCTATGATAGTGTGTTCATGTGAATTAAGTATACTCATGACAGGTGTACTAATACCACAAACACAAACAACTCTCCAAATGCAAACATCACATGCGAGTATCTATCCAATAAATCATTTTCATACAAGTCTACTATGCTTCCCAATTAACATATACAAATATCATCACCCTACTAACAACAAGTCACATCAAGTGAAGTCATGCAATCAAGTGAAATAGGTATAAGCATGAATGATTGAGCCAAATAGAAATGCACAAAAGAAAATACAACCCTGCCAAAATTTGATGGGTCATTGAACACACCAAAAATAAACACTAAACTACACCAAATTCTTTTAGAATAATGGTAAGTCCAGGTATCGATCCACAGGGACAAATGCGAAATTAAACTAATTTAATTGTTAAATTCCTAAATTAATTTTGATGAAAAGATTGATTGTTCATAACCTAAATTAATAACAAATAAATTAAACTAAGTAATTAAATTATCAATAGTAAATGAAATTGGATTTACTAATATGGGGAAAAACCTAGGGCAAAGAGTCCACCACTAGTCACGTAAATAGGGTTTCCAATTGAAAACAATTATGTTATGGTTCGAACGGATTAATGCTTCACAACTACAAGTTCAAAGCATTTAACAAGAAAATCATCACATTTAATGTACGAGCACGAATCATCTCAAGTAGTGTGAATCGTTCACTCTAAACTAGGGTAGTGACACGACTGGTCCCTCATAATATGATTCGTCTCATACCTTGAATGTGAAAGAATAGAAACTCTCATATGGAAAACATTCAACAATCACAGAAAGTTGAATACTTGAAGAAATAATGGAAAGTGTAAATATAAAACTTCTAAAACACCATACAATTGTTCAAACCTTTACATAATTGAAAATCAAAAAGAAAAACTAATTACATGGCTAGGGTTTCAACAAAACCCTAGAAAAGGAGACTAGCCACTCATGGAGGAGTGGAAGGAGGTAGATGGAGAAGAAGCCACCATGGGAGACATGCTTGAAGCTTCAAATTCCTTTCTTTCCAAACCCTAGCCACTTTCTCATTGCTAAAATAATTTCAGAACCTCAATCCAGCCCTTTTCTTGCCTATTTATACTTCTGGTGTCTTTCCAAACAGGTTTAAAACATCTGGCATGTTTTCCCAGAAAAAGTCAACGCACGCGCGGGAAAGTCACCGCACGTGCAGGAAAGTCAACTCTCTCCAAATTCTGTCTTTTTGCCCACTTTATGCTCCGACTATGTACAACCTGATTGACATTCAACATACATAAAGTATACAGTTTGATAGGCAAGTGAAGTTAATAGATCCTATTTAACAGCCTCAATGATGTACAATTCGGCCTTAATCACATGGCCATACAATTCTTGGATCAAATGGATAGGCAATACAGAAGCCAAAAACGAGATGATCTCGAAATCCCAGGAAACTTGGTGGGTCAATAGAAAACGTGATTTTAAGAAAGATCTATGTTGATGTAGCATGGTTGGCCATACAATTCTTGGATCAAATGGACAGGCAATGTTGAAGCCAAAAAGGGGTCGAGATCGGAAGCGCGTGAAATTTGTTAGGTTAATAGAAAAGGTAATTTTAAGAATGATTCATGATGAAGTAGCAGGCGTGGCCATACAATTGTTAGATCAAATGATAGGCAA